ACTTTGAGTCCCTTTCAAAAATTGGTCTTTTTTGGATTACATTCAGTGTGTGTTCCCTGGGGGGCCAGCCATGGAGTGTCCAGGCATGGGGGCCACCTGCCCCTCTCCCTCTCCTTGGTGGAGAGGGGACATCCAGAGTGCTTTTTTTTTGAGACAGGGTCTTACTCTGTCACCCTGGATAGAGTGCAGTGGTGTCATCATAGCTCGCTGCAACCTCAAACTCCTGGAGCTCAAGTGATCCTCCTGCCTCAGCCTCCCGAGTAGCTGGGACTACAGGCGAGTGCCATGATGTCTGGCTAACTTTTTCTATTTTTTTGTAGAGACGGGGTCTTGCTCTTGCTCAGGCTAGTGTTGAACTCCTGACCTCAAGCAATCCTCCCACCTGAGCCTCCCAGCATGCTAGGATTACAGGCATTTACAGGCATGAGCCACCACGCCCGGCCTCCGTGGTACTTTGAGTCAGTACTTTAGTGGTCTTCTGATCCAGGACAGCCAGTCTGAAAACATGGCTATCCAGAGGGCTGGTGTTGAAATCTGCCCTCTGTGCAAGCCATGGCGACTCAGAAAGCTGCATGCTTTGTTTGTAATCTTTATGAAGCAATGCTGGGGCGACATGCTTGCTTTAGTCAGAGCCTGTATGGTTTCTGCTGTGTGTCTTCTGAGGCATGAACTCTCAACTGCTTTGGTATGAATGTAACTTACTCTTTTTTTAGTAAATTCCTAAAGTCCCCTTACTGTTAAAGAAGAATCCCCCTGGGATCAGTGGGATCAGGCTGGTGTCCTTGTCAGAGAAAACAAGGTTGAGTGAGCAAAGTGACGAGTGTAAACCAGATGGTGTGTGTTGGGGGAGGGGACAAAGGTAAAATCACTTAGGAGTTGCTGGACAAGGTTTATTCTGTTCTCTTGGGCCTTCTTTTCAGCTGACATTCCTCAATGTGGGCAGATGTATTAAGATTCTCTGTGCTTCCTTCCTGGGCTCTGATGTTCAGTTCAAAATTAAATGGTAGGTTTGGCAGTTCCTCAAAAAGTTAAACCTGGAGTTACTATATGACCAGGAAATTCCATACCTAGATATATAATAAAAAGAACTGAAAACATGTGTTCACACAAAAATTTGTACACAGATGTTCATAGCAGGGTTATTCAAAATCGCCAAAAAGTGGAATCAACCCAGATGTTCAGCAACTGATGAATGGATAGACCAAATGTGGTATATTCATACAATGGAATTTACTCAACCACACAAAGGAATGAAATATCGATGCATGCTACAACACGGATGAACCTTGCGAATATTGTGTTAAGTGAAAGCCAAACACAGAAGGCCACATGTTGTATAATTCCGTTTACATGAACTGGCTAGAATAGGCACATCTGTAGCGATAGAAAGTAGATTAGGGCCGGGTGCGGTGGCTCACGCTTGTAATCCTAGCTAGCACTCTGGGAGGCCGAGGCGGGCGGATCGTTCTGAGCTCAGGAGTTCGAGACCAGCCTGAGCAAGAGCGAGACCCTGTCTCTACCAAAAAAAAAATGGAAAGAAATTAATTGGACAGCTAAAAATATATGTAGAAAAAATTAGCCGGCATGGTGGCGCGTGCCTGTGGTCCCAGCTACTCAGGAGGCTGAGACAGTAGGATCGCTTGAGCCCAGGAGTTTGAGATTACTGTGAGCTAGGATGACGCCATGGCACTCTAGCCCGGGCAACACAGTGAGACTCTGTCTCAAAAAAAAAAAAAAAAAGAAAGTAGATTAGTAGTTGCCAAAGGCTGGGGTTGGGTGGGGCGAGGGGAGTAACTGCCAGTGAGTACAGGGTTTATTTTGGGGGTGATGAAAATGTTCTGGAATTAGATAGTTGTGATGGTCGCACTATTTAGTGAATATACTAAAACCCACTGAACTTACATTTTAAATGGTAAATTTTATATGTGAATTATATATTGGTTGAAAAAATTCCATGGTTAGAGGCCCGTCCTGTTTTTAAAGCTTAATTATTTATGCCAAGATGACATATTTGTTTGAAAAAGAATTCAAACGATACAAAAAAGCTCAAGAAAATAAATACATCATCTATGACTGCAGTTAGCATTTAGGTTTAGAGAGCAGGTTGGAGCTGTTGAGGATTGAACTTGGGCAAGTTACTGAACTCTTTCCCAAAACGGAGGAAAACCCATGAAGATATGGGTGAAAGAGAAACAAGTGCTGCCCTTTGTGCTCATTACGTGTGTGTGTGTGTGTGTGTTTGTGTGTGTGTACCCAGGTGCACGTGTCTTATTGCCCACAAGCGGGACTAGGTTCTACATGTGGATCTATTGCCTGACTTTTTCATGGATGGACTTTTCTTGTAAAAACATAACTCACCCTTTAAAAATGACTGGCTACAGAATATTCCATTGTATGGGTGTATCATAGTTTGTCCTGTGGTCTCTCACGGATGGAGTTTCCACTGATTGACGGGGTCTCACACCAAAGTCGTGTTGCCGCCCAACCGGGTTCATTCGCCCGCTGCCCAATATGCTGGGCCTATTCGCTGAGTCAGCAGGTTTTACGACCGAGTAAGAGTTTTACTTTGCATGGTGCTAAGTAGGGAGACTGGAGAAATTGCTCAAATCCACCTCCCGGAGGATTTGGGAGACAGGGTTTGGCGTAGGCAATTGAGACTGCTAATTGGCTGGGTTTGGGGCGGAACCATAGGATTGTAAAAATTGTCTTCTTTGCTGACCGGTTTCTCGGGTGGGGGCCACTAGACCAGTTGAGTCAGTTCCTCTATATGGGCCGCAGGTCTGGGTGGGTCCGCCGTTCCCCTGGAATGTGGGACCTTGAGGATATCTCAGAAACTACCCCTAGGTTTTAGAAAAGTGGTATTATCTACAGAGAAAGCTGAGAATCTTTATGACCATCAGCTGTGTGGCTCCAGAGTGGCAATTACAGAGAAGCAAACAGGGGGACAGTGGCTAATTATTGTCATTATTTTTAGCTAGGCCCTTACCACAGTTCGCCTTGGAGCCCTTTTTATTAATTTGCAGAGGCGGTTGCAGTTGCTTGCCAGCGCTGCTGCTGTGTTAGAACACGTACCGGACCATCCATTAATGCCTTACCTGCAGGTTCAGCACCTCCAAGGTGTGTGGCTGGAAGTGCAGGTCCACGGCTTAAGCCTTTGGTGTAGGTGGCTGGCAGAGCGGGTCATGGCAAACAAAGGGGAATCTGCTGTCCTCGGGGACCTGGCAAGAAGTGACAGTGGCAGCACCCAGGAGACTCGGCCTGTCCAGGGTGTCGGGCAGGGGGCTGTGAGGAGGAAGGGGGACTGGCCAGAAAGTCGCTGGCCTCCCCGTTCTGTTTGTTTGCTTGGTGTCAAAGGTCAGTGGAGGGGAGAGAAGAGCAGATTGCAGGAGAGGCTTAGGCCGAGTGCAGTGTGAAAGTGCCTCCCCTCCCTGGCCCTGCCCTGGTGCCCCTCATGGGCCTGGGTGTGCCCTCTGGCCCCAGACACCCACAGGAACTCCAGAGGAGTAGTGTGTCTCCATGGTGCTTTGCTGAGTTGGACAAGGTGAGGGTTTGCCCTCTGGGGAAGCAGGTTGATGACCCTGGGGACTGGGTGGGGTGGGGCCAGGGGCTCAGCTCCCATGGCCAATTCACTGCCCTTTCGGCCTGCCCTGGGGCTGCTGGGCTTTGAGGCAGGCCTGCCCTGGGGCTGCTGGGCTTTGAGGCAGGCCTGCCCTGGGGCTGCTGGGCTTTGAGGCAGGCTTGTATGTCCGCCTGGTTGTTAAAGCTGCCCTGGCGTGACAGGCTGTCTGTGCTGGTCCCTGCCGCCTGCACTGCTGGCCTCCCCACCTTTCTGCCACAATGCCCTGAACTCCTCCCACCCACCTCCTTTCCTGCCACTGGGCCTCTGGCCTAAGTTGTCACTCTGCTGGGAAGGCCCCTAACCTCAGCTCTTTTTCAGGGATCTAGTGTCTCCTCTTTGAATGTCCCTAGGTGGTGCAGTGTGACCTGACCCACCCTACACCCTGCAAACTGTGTAGCCCCTGTTGGGACCTGTGCACAGCCAGCCTGAAAGTGGGGCTTTCTGGGTGTTTTCTTGACTTCATCCCTGGCTGCCGGTCCCAAGGGCCCAGCACAGAGGGTGCCGTGCTGGAGAGGGCAGGTGATACACGGCCTGCCTCAGTGCCTCCGACCTTCCCGGGCTCTGGCTGGGCCCCAGGAGATAGTCTCCTGGCCCAGTTGGCAGATTCAGCCTGACGCGCATTCAGGGATCAGCTCCGGACAGCCCTTCTGAGGGCCTGGAGCAGTGAAGGTGGCCCTGCCTGCCGGGGCACTTGTCCTGGGTCCCCGCCCTGCCATCTGTAAAATAGAACGTCCAAGCCTCAATGCATCAGGGACCATTTGGCCAACGAGAAACAACATTAAGTCCTCTCCAATCCTTTAGATGTGGCCTGCGTTTGCGGTTCCCCACAGGTGTTTCTCGTTACTGTCCACCTGCCTGCTCCGTGCGTGATTTTCGTTGTGCACCTGGTCCCGTGACTTTGCAAGTGCTGCCTTCCTAAGGGCAGGGACCGCTTCTGCCTGTCTGAGCACAGGATCCACAGCGCAGAGCACGTCAAAGGGCAGGAGCTCAGTATGTGTTTGTTGTTGGGCGAACATTACTCCCCTCTTCAAAAGTCTTTGATGAAATATGGGAAGTAAAAAAGCAGTACAGAAGTTTGTTTAACGTGTGCGCAAAGTAATCACGATTGAAAGTGCATTGAATATCTCTGGAAGGACTCCTACAAACTTGGCGACAGTGGATGCCTTTGGAGCGGGGAAGGTGGCTGGGGGGTGGGGTGGAAGCGGGATATCTCTTGTTCCTTCTGAATTTAATTCAAATTTTGCAGAATTGGAATTTCATTGATAAAAGATTTACCTCATTTAAAAAGGTCAGCTAGTGGCATCTGAGGCCTTTGGCTGTGGGCCTGCTCCTGCCCTCCCTGCCCCCTGACTGTGCTGTGCTCTCCTCTCGGTCCTGGCAGCGCCTGGTTCGAGATGGGGTCCCAGGTCTCGGTGGACTGCGGAGCTCTGCACGTGGTGATCGTGGGCGGGGGCTTCGGCGGGATCGCGGCCGCCAGCCAGCTGCAGGCGCTGAAGGTCCCCTTCATGCTCGTAGACATGAAGGACTCCTTCCACCACAACGTGGCAGCCCTCCGGGCCTCCGTGGAGAGTGGTAACTCACTGCTGTCCGGGGCATGATTTTGGGGCTGGGGTGGTTTTCTCCACTTAGGGCAAGGCGCCTGCATGCCACCATTATTCAAGTTCCGGAGAACCTCAAGGTCACTGGTCTTAAGCACCTACCCTAATGAGACCCAGAAGTGAGAGCTTGAGCTTCTCTGAGGAGCTGAGGCCCAGGTGGGCCCTGTGGAGGGTAGTGGGTACCCCAGATGTACTTGCTGGCCCAGCTCTTTGGCCTAGGGTGCCCCTCTTGGTACGCAGCTCAGGAGAGGTTCTGAGTTACTCTGGCTTCCCGTGGGCAGCCTGGTTCCACACTGTGACCTCTTCTATGTCCATTCCCCAGGGTTTGCCAAAAAGACATTCATTTCCTACTCAGTGACCTTCAAGGACAACTTCCGGCAGGGCCTGGTGGTCGGCATAGACGTGAAGAATCAGACGGTGCTGCTGCAGGGCGGGGAGGTGAGTGCAAGTACGGAGCTGACCCCCCGTGAGCTGGCTCCGGCAGGTCTGGCAGGTCTCCTCAGGGGTCAAGAGAGCCGTTGTTGTGACCCCCAAGTTCCACCTGGTGCTGGGCAGACAGCAGATTCTTCATAAACAAAAGGCTTGACCACAGCAACCACAAGGACACGGCGGCAGATATTTCTTGCCTTTCCTGTATGCCAGCCACTGTCCTCAGCCTTCACGTGAATGTCGTGTAACGTTCACGGTGCCTCGAGGAGGTAGGTGGCATAACCACCTTTTACAGAGAGGCTAACCAAGAGTTAGGCACAAATGTGATCCTACCCCCACCCCCTACTTGGGAAGTCATCGGGGCCGACTGTGTATTCCCCACCCTGCTGTGTGTAGCACGGTGCCTGCTACTGCCCGCAATGACTTGAGCTCCAGCAGTGAGCTGCCACCAGCCCAGATGGGGTGTCACCTCCAGCCCAGCCCCTGGCTGGTATCCGAAGCTAAGAGGGGATTGAAAAAACAGAGACATAGTTCTTATCCTCAATGAGTATGTGATTTGGTGTGAATCAGTCCTCCTTGAATTAATTTTAGGACTGGAGAATTTCCTTGTTGAAAAATTTCCTGCAGTTTCGGGTCATGCTTTTCAGAGCCCTGGAAGGGTCCATGGGGGCATCTCGGGGCTCCAGGAGGGAAGAGGGGGTGAGTGGGGTCCAGACCCTCCGGCCCCCTCCCATTGGAGCAGCTTTGTTTTTGTCAACTTTATGTATTTTGGCTCCAAACAAGATTTCCTTTTCTTTCTTTTCTTGGTGGGGGTAGGAGAAGGGTTCTTGTAAGATACCCAGGAGGTTCCTAACTAATTGCACATAGGAAGCTGGAATCCTGCTTATGCCCACAAACAGCCTGTTCCCTCTGACCTGCACCTGCTGTGGGACTTGCTCCTCCTTCTCCCTGCAGGGCAGCTCCGTTGCCCAGGTGTTCTCCAGGCAGGAGGTCACATCTACTTCCTTAGGTATATTTCCTTGGGTTCTAGTGCCATCCCTTGGCCTAACCAGTGTGGCGATCCTGCCTCCCTCAAAAGAGGGCTACCTCGGTGTGCCCAGAAGGGCTTCCTGACCTGGTGCTCCTTGGTCGGTGGGGCCTGGAGTAGGATGCAGAGGCCCAGGCCTCCCCTGGGCTGCCCTCATCTTTCTTCCTCTTGTCCCTCTCAGGCTCTGCCCTTCTCACATCTTATCCTGGCCACAGGCAGCACCGGGCCCTTCCCGGGCAAGTTCAATGAGGTGTCCAGCCAGCAGGCTGCCATTCAAGCCTACGAGGACATGGTGAAACAGGTGGGCTGCGTGCCGAGGTGTGGGGCAGCAAGCGCAGGCGGGAGGACAGCCAGGAGGATGCCCGGGGATGCAGCTGGGAGGCCACGGAGGGGAGAGGTGGCTTCAGAGCTGCTGGCTGCAGCTGTAGAGTTGGAGAGTCACTAGGAGGAGACGTTCCTGGGAGGAGACCTTGGACCTGCCACTGAAGCCTGAATGTGAGCACCTGCTCATGTTGTGCTTGGCACGTCCTCGCCTGGTCTCTCTTGGGGCTTTTCATGTTCATGTCCCCCCCCCGTTCACACAGGGCTGTGTTTTGTAGAGTAGGCTTAGATCCACGGTCTCAGTTTTCACAGCAGTCCTGCAGGGTGGGTAGGAGGAAGCCGGTTTGGACCTCAAAGCTGGAAAGTATTCTCTGCCCTTCTTTGGCCAAGGAAGCCACACCAGAGGCTGCACTGCCAGGTGGGTGTGTAGGTGTGTCTCACGTGTCCCTGTTCTCCAGGTCCAGAGATCAACGTTCATCGTGGTGGTGGGAGGAGGCTCCGCAGGAGTGGAGATGGCAGCAGAGATTAAAACGGAATACCCTGAGAAAGAGGTGGGGCAGGCTGCCTGGATTTTGCGCTCTGTGGTCGACTTCTTTCTACGTTATCTAAGGAACGTCAGCAATTTGTTCAGGGCCTGGGAGGCTGGAACTCCACTCACTAAACTGGGAATGTGTTTCCCATCTGGTGCCAGGGTGCGATTGTGCTGCTCTGGGCGTGTCCTCATTCGGTGAGAGGTCCTGCCCTCTGCTCCAACCAGGAGGATCAGGCCCAGGGGAGATACCTTGCAAAAGTTGAACTTCTTCCGCCTCTTCAGAATCCAGGCCTTTGTGATATAAATGTAGCTTTGATTACCTCTTCTTGCCATTGCAGGCTTGGACAAAGGCACCCTCAGTTGGTCTTTTGGTCTCTTTGTCTGATACGGCCATGCTGTGGTCCATGCCCAGTGGCAGGGGGAGCCTGCAGTGCAGCCCCTTGACTGCCCAGGCTGGGGAATGGGCGGCGTGGGGGTGACGGGAGACTTGACCTTCCCCAGAAAGTTCGCTGAAGGATCAACTCACAGTTAAGGCAGATTACTAAGAGGAAGAGGTTCTCACAGGGAGAATCACAGTGATTACCCAGTATCCCAATGGGATCCAGATATTTTTATACCTGTTTTTTTAGAGGGGAGGGGCTGTTTAGGGGCAATAAATGGTTGCTAGGGAGGACGAATAGCTACTTGGAGAATGAATGGATGGGGAGAAACAGTTTGGCTCATAAATTAACCTGAAAGACTTGTTTGAAATGATTTGGGCCAGGTCTGGTTATATTCTTAATTTTCTTTCCTGCAGTATAGGGACATAACAGGGAGGGGAAGTGCATTGTTCTTTTGACAGGTCAATTGGGTTTATGCAGATAGAGGAATGACCCTTCCAATGCCTTTTGATCTCGAAGAACCTTTAATGGAAAATGTTTTGGCTGGGCGTGGTGGCTCATGCCTGTAATCCTAGCACTCTGGGAGGCCAAGATGGGTGGATCGCTCAAGGTCAGGAGTTCTAGACCAGCCTGAGCAAGAGCTAGACCCTGTCTCTACTAAAAGTAGAAAGAAATTATCTGGACAACTAAAAATAAATATGTAGAAAAAATTAGCCAGGCATGATGGTGCATGGCTATAGTCCCAGCTACTCGGGAGGCTGAGGCAGGAGGATCGTTTGAGCCCAGGAGTTTGAGGTTGCTGTGAGCTAGGCTGACGCCACGGCGCTCTAGCCAGGGCAACAGAGCCAGACTCTGTCTGGAGAAAAAAAAAAAAAAGAAAAGAAAATGTTCTTTATACCAAGGAGTCATATTTTGGGGTGAAATTTCCTGAGCTCCTTCAGTGGCCAGCACTGCCTTCTGCCCACAGGCTGTGTGTGTGTTTGTGAGACAGAGAGAGAGAGAGAGAGAGAGAGAGAGAGAGAGAGAGATCAGCCTGTCCCGTTCCCTGCTAGTGCTCGAGGCATAGAGAGCCTGCCTGGCAGCCTGGAGAGGACGAGGAATCCTGGCATGTGTGTAGGCTGGGCAGCGGCTGAGTAATGATTGTAATTACGGGTCTTCCGGGCAGGAGCTTGCTTGCAGCTCCTGCCAGGTTAGCTTCTGAGAGCCGCTCGGGCCTGTGGATGGTTTTTTTCCCTAGGGCAAGGCAGGTTGGTTTTGAAAAGAAAGATCAATACGGGCTAATTTAATAATAGGGCTATTCTCTGACAGATTGTTGGAAATTATTATGAGTGATTGATATAGTTAAAATTTATTCATTTGATTTATGAGGGTTGTGTAGGGAAAAACCAAACTGTCTTTCTCTGTACTCACACTCAACACTTCTGTGACGAGATGTGTGGGGTTTTTCCTTCTACTGACCAATTCTTCGACACTGTCTGGGTGTCCTGTAATTGGATTCAATTCAATGCTGACACTACCTGGAATTAGCACAGACCCCACAAGACTGCCCCGCTTCAGACCCGAGTTGCCAGTTGTGGGTCCCAGCTTACCCACGCTTCTGTCCCACTTGGCTACAAATTGGATGTTCCCATGACCCCCTCCTCGGGTGTGATAATGTGCTAGAGTGGCTCACAGAACCGAGGAAAACAGTTTACTTACTAATGCTGAATTATTACAAAGGATATTTTAAAGGACACAAATAAGCAGGCAGATGAACAGATACATAGGGCAAGGTGTAGAGGGGTCCTGAGCACAGGAGCTCCTGTCCCCATGGAGTTGGGGTGCACCACTCTTGGGGCACATGGACATGTTCACCAACCAGGAAGTTCTCTGGACCTCATACTTCAGGAATTTTTATGGAGGTTTCATCATATAGGCACGATTGATCATTCGCTCAATTTCCAGCCCCTCTCCCCTCCCTGGAGGTTGGGGTTGGGCTGAAAGTTCCAGGCTTGCAATCATGGCTTCGTCTTTCTGGTGACCAGCCCCTATCCAGGAGCCCACCAAGGGTCGCCTCATTAGAACAAAAGATACCCCTCTTACCCAGGAAATTCCAAGGGTCTTAGCTCTATGTCAGGAACCAGCATCAAAGACCAAATAGTAGAACAAATGATTTCTCCTGGCACCGCTTTTTACGAGAGTTTTAAGAGCTCTGTGTCAGGAACCCGGGGCAGAGACCAATGTGTACATTTTTTTTCTTATTTCACAGGGGTAAGACCAGTCAGAAGTAGTAGATTAGTTCAAGTAACTCAATATAACGTCCATATGTGTGTGATTAGTAGACAAATAAGAGTAGTAGCAGCCACCCTTACGGATGATATGTGCTGAGTTACGTGCCTTATACATATTTTCCTGTTCATCATCACAAAATTCATGTGAGTGGGACCATTTTAGTGAGCCTCCTGGAGGTGTCCGAGTGAGGAGCAGAGATGAGATTTCAACCCAGACAAAGTCCAGGCTTTGAACATGATTAAAGGCTGCCTTCTACTTCCTTGTCCCAGACAAGGAGACGTGCCTGGGAGCGCTAATTTTAGAACCAGCTTTAATGTTGGCATCAGCCTGATTTGTAGTTGGAATGTCAGTGGTTTATATGGATTGTATAATTGTCAGTGCCCAAGGATGCTTGAAAATAAGTGTTCCAGGTGGCCCTAGGGGAGGTACGGCTTGTGGTGCATCGGCACACTGGTGGTCCTCTGGCCCAGGGGCAGCAGGGGGTACTGCAAGAGTGCTAGACTAGGACACGGGGGCCAAAGCCCAGCTCGCAACTGATTGGTTCCGGCATTGGACAAATTACTTCTCTGGGGCCTCAGTTTCCTCATCCGTAACCTGGAGGTGGGGGAGGAGGTGGATGTTGATGTGAGCCGAAGACTCAGGGGCTGCTTCTCAGGCTCTGTGGTTGTTTCATCCCCAGGTCACTCTCATCCACTCCCAAGTAGCCCTGGCCGACAAGGAGCTCCTGCCCTGCGTCCAGCAGGAAGTGAAGGAGATCCTCCTCCGGAAGGGCGTGCAGCTGCTGCTGAGTACGTGTGACCTTGCCTCCCTCCCTTCCCGTCCCTGGCTGGTGAGATGTGGCGCAGGGACCCCCAGCTGGAGGAGGGCCTCAGTCCCCCCAGGCTCTCTCTTGCACCGTATCCTGGGTTGAGCATGAAGCACCCCAAAACGGCCACAAACATCAAAGCCCATGTGGACCTTGTCCCGCTGGAAGTCGTGTTTGTCACCGGGCAGGGTAGTGGCTCTGGTACTTAGAGGATTTCTTTCCATGTCTTGGAGGCAGAAGTATTCTGGCCATTGCCTTGGACACAGTACGGATTGTGGGATGCCTACTTGCTGAATGATTTTTTTTTAAGTGCATCTAAAGGATTTGCCCTGAATTACGATGTCTCTGTGGTAGAGGGAGTAGGTTTATTGGTTTCTATTTTGAGAGTGATGAGGAGTGTGGTTTTCATCCAGAGTAGGAGGGATGTGAACCACCCAGCACTTCAGAGAGTGGGGCTCTGACCCCATACTTTACTGCACTGGGCCTCAACCTCCTCCTTTTTTGCTGGGGAAGCGGGGTGAGGCATCTGTTCTCTGAAAGTCCCTCAGAGACTGAGGGCTGTCACAGCCTCCTTTTGGTAACTGGTTGTGGAGTTCTGTTACCACTTTACCCTTTGTCCGTGGCATACTTGGGTGTCTTGTCCTGCCTGGTTGGGATGGTGTAGCTGACATTCAAAAAGGCATGTCTCGAGACCCCGTCTCTACCAAAAATAGAAAGAAATTAATTGGACAGCTAAAAATATATAGAAAAAATTAGCCGGGCAT